GTGCGTGCAAAGGTTCTGCGCGATCCTCTTGTTCAATATTCTCTGGGTCTGAATCCAGCTCAAATTGATATGGCAATATTGCCGCCATCCTTAACTAAACTTGCTGCTTTGGCAAGGGGCGGGGCAGTACTGAAACACCGTCTAAGCTGTTCGCCAATCACAACACACTGGGACAGCTAACCAATCACATCACATTTAGTTTTTCGTAAGGTAGGCCTTCATCAAACCCGGAACTAATCGAGCCGTTTGTGCCATGATGGGTAGAAAGGTATTGTAATAATGTAAATTATGTAAAAAATAATGCGTTTTTCGAACCACCAAGCATGAGAGCATGTTCTAGTACACCCCCAAAACAAATTCAAGACATTGTAAAAGAGCATAATAGGAAAAACTGCATTGTCACAATATTGATTACATTTTCACCACTTTTAAAACTGCACTGTTTATGTAAATCTTTTTGATTTCTATGGGATGTGCTTTAAAGCTTATTTGAGAGAGTAAAAGTAACCAAGGTGAATTTTGAACCGTATGAATTTTCCTTTTTTATTATTCATTAATGCCATATTTCACAAGGAATTGTGAAAGATAATGATATATAAATGTGGGTTTCTGACAGACATTATATGCACTTGATATAAGTGAAGTGTTTTCTATCAAGTGCACGTATCAACTCGCATCAGAAAAACATTAAGAATTACGTTTTTTGTTGTTGATGTTGTTTCTTTGGCCGTACCCAGTGACCCACTCAGAACGGTCTCGTGACCCACTTTTTTACCTCTAGGCAACTGAGCATAACAAATGAAAGATTACTGATCTAGGATGTCTTGGGTGTTTTTAGGTTGACTGGATAATTACAGTAAATTACAGCAACATGCCTGTTCAGTGCCTGTGGTTCCAGACTTTTAAGTAGCTTCTGTGTTTTCAATGTCTTTAACTAAAGCCATTATGTGATACATGTAAAGGCTTTGTGAGTTAAATAAGGCTCTAAAACACTGGTGTCAAGATATAACTTGTGTCAGTTATGTCATCCTTACGTTTTAGTTGTATCTTTTTTCAGAAATCCTATTGAGATTCTTCTTTTCACTATTGAATATAATTGCGTAGCATCTATTGATTTAATTTAGACACTATACTTGACATTTGGCACTTCTTGTGAGTTGTCAAATATGAGGATGATTTACTAGCAAAGGATTCCACTGAGCCTCTTTATTGAACTGCAACTCGTTAAAGTTTCTGACCAAATGAGGTAACTTGTATTTTTATATTTATTTATTTATTTATTGTAAAGCCTCAAAATTGATGTGGCTTGACATTATCCAGACCTCGCAGGGGCATTGAATGCATTGCCAAAGGTCACATGCTGATATGATTAATTTGTTTTTAACCTAAAATTGATTAATCTTGTGATTAGTCTCACAATAAATTATCATGGTAGCTGGTGCTTAAAGGAACTTTTAAATATTTCAGTGCTCAGGGCCTTAAAGGAAGTAAAATTAAAAAGTTAATTTGGGAAATTAAATTATAGATATGGTTTTGTTCATAATAAATAATAAAGTTGGAAATAACATATAAAGCATGCTGCTGTTATCCTCAGAAAAAAAAAAATACATAAATAAATAATAAAAAAAAGAAGCGCCCAGGGGAGGTCGCGGCGGGACCGCAGAATGGAAGCTGCAGCTCGCCGAGGTTTCAGCAGCCTGGATGGCAACCCCTGCTGACATGCCGTAACACCAACGCCAGCTGTTTTCCAAAACACTCGCGTGTCACGACTGACGTAACGTCGAACGTGACTGACTGAAAGGGAACTTGTTTGTTTCCATTGTTGTTCATTTGGCTGTTTTTGTCTTTCCTCAAATTAGTTTTTAAAGACATGTTCATGGAGGTGTTATTTAGCTATATGCATAAATACCAATATATATTTCTTTCTTTCTTTTATTTATTTAGTCATTTAGCAGACGCTTTTAAGCTGCTTTTAACTTCCACTGATAAAGACTGCTTCTCTCAAAGAGTGTTTCTTTACACTGTTTTCTGCTGGCGCTTGAACACACTTTCCGTATTTTTTTCCACAACAAATGGCCAAGCAAGCGCAGACACTGACAAGATACGCGATACAGAATGAGACCAAACGCGATATCAGCATGTCTCCACACAGTAAACAAAACAAGCATATGAAACATAAAAACATATATGTGGTGGAAAGTGAAATTTTCTTTCCTCTATCTTAGTTTCTATTCCTTTGAAAGGTCTAAGTGTGTCCTACTGATCTCCCGCAGAGTGGCTAGCTTCACAGGGTCCATCGTACAAAATTTGGCAGGCCATGTGGTCCCTTGGCCCTGGGCTTGCTGAATATTGCCTCAATTCCATGTGTTTTTCAGAGCACTGGAATATTTTGAAGTAACTCATAAAATGTTAATAAACATTCATCAAAGAGATAATGTACTGACTGATCTTTAAAAGGATAATTCACCCAAATATGAAAATGGCATCATTTTCTTCTGCAGGATACATAAGAAGTATCCCTACATGTCTATTGTAACATGAGATGAAATTATGAAAGTAAATGATGAAAGAATTTTAATTTCTGGGTGAACTATCCCATTTAAGGGCTATTTAATTAAGTCATAGTGTGTAAAACACATAGGGGTACCATTAACCCTACTGAAGTAAAAAAAAAAACATTTATAACTCCAACAAAGTTAATATGAGTTAATAAATCATTTGGCTGGCTCATTGGTTGGAATTTAGTCTAGAATTTATTAACTTGACATAGCCTACTTGTGAAAGTAGAGGGAAATTATATATTTAAGCACCATTACTTGCACTGATCATCTTTGAACACTGTTAAAGCTGTAATTATTCCTTAGAGAATTAAATATTAGCATAATAACATGATTTTATGATATTTTGAATGTCTGTGGACTGCAATTCCCTGCACTAGTCAGAGCCTGCTTGTTTGGAAAATTACCATAGCTGTGGACTTTGTACATCACACAGTAAATATTTGTTCATTTCAAGCACAGCAAACACATTTCACTACCATTGTGCAAGTGAACCAGTACACCGCTTCTACTCCCAGCAGCATAATCTGATCCAGGGAAAAGCAATCTTGGAACTGCACAGAACAATCAGTTTAGAGAGAATACAATGTAGACTCTGTATTGGTGTCTATAAAGGAGATGTTTGGAACGTCATTGCATTTATGTTACAGCAGGATTGTTCACCAGGGGTCCACAACCATAGGTGATCTGCAGCAAGACCACAGGGGGCCTGCCAAATATTGTTTGAAATTGAAAATGTCTAAAACAAAAATACAATAAATTTAAAGTTCAGAAGTTAAGAATCAGTTTCATTGTGTCTCATAGATTAAAATATATTTATTACAATTAAAATGTAATGTACAATGACACAACTGACAGACTAATGTACAGTCGAAGTAATGTGCATCAACTGATTCTTTCTGCAGGTTACATAGTTACATAGTTACACCAGTAGGTGAATCATTAAGTCAGGCGATTCGTTCAAACACAGTGATTCATTCAGGAATGAAACGAGTGACTAGTGAGTCATTGATTCATTCTATGAAATGATTCATTAATAACACTGAATTATTTCCTGTAGGAACACATGAATCATTGGATTATTCACTAGCAATAATTCAAGCAAAGCAGTTCTGCTGTGACTTTGGAACTATTTTTGTTGGTGGATGAAAAACAGACAAAGCAATACTAAGACATATAAGTCTAAAATATAAGTTACTCAATATTAACTTGTTTATTGAGCTGTTGTACAAAAGCAAAATTTAACAAAATTATTATTATTATTATTATTATTATTATGCAAAGCTGAGTGCAACATCTTCAGTTACAATGAAGGCTTTAGAACAGTATCAGAGATAATGACTGATTAGTGTCTTAGCTTTTGACTAAAAAGTATTATGTATCACATTTGTCACAGAATGAATATTCTATTACTTGGAAGGCCTTATTTATTAGAGTCTTAAGTGAAGGTTAATTTTAATTACTTGCCGCTGTTGAAAAGAACAGGCTGCACTTTTGCAGTGTCTAGTCTGAAAATGCTTGCTTTGTATTTGGAGTTAAGCTACTAATTAGAGCTTCCACAGACTTTCTGTTCTAAGCCCTGCCAATTGAGATGCTTTGTTCGCAGAGGTAGATTTGTCTCAATTTGTTCAAAGTGCCCTCATTACCATGGAACGGAAGTCATTATATATTCTGCCTTGTTACGATAACATCTTCCCCCAACGACCATAAAATCACGGCTTTAAAAGGTCTGCCTTCTCTTGTACTCCTAGTATTTTGCTAAGATTGGTGGGAGTGGGAACCTGAGGTGAGTTGTGCAGTGTTCTTTATTAAGTAAGGTGGGCATTTCCTGAGAATCTCCAGTGGTTATTGTCAACTGTGATGCTGAAATGTGCAATGCTGAAAAATTTTATAAATGTATTAATGTATTAATTTCTTTTTAAATACACCATATGAGGAATCCTTGATCTTTTTAGCAGGATAGATACTTTTATTCCATCCTTTATTTTTAACAATGTCCCCAGACATTTCATTCTGACCTTAACATTATAAGTGACACATTTCAGCACAGATTGTTTTGTGAATCTGAAGGATTAAGCAAACTAACAGCAGCAACAATAGACAGTTAAATCCTAATGGTGGAGAGAAGTGGAAAAGGTCATGAGAAACTAAAATATAATTGTTTATTACTTTACAAGTAAATGTAAAAAGTATGATAAAATAGTTTTATTATTATTAATATTATTATGATCAGTTTAAGTTTTCAGAACTTAATCATGATCTGAAAGTGTAGCATCTAATTGCTTTTTTTTCTCTGTCTCTCTTTGTTTTGATATTTATACATGCACTTATTTGATTGTCATTTGCATATTTATTTAAACACTGACAGACCATGTCTCCACTTGGCTTTGAGAGAAGAATCATTGGCCACTTCATAACAAAACTTGGAACGTAAAGGCAGTATTTCTGTCTTGAAGCCGATATCACAGTAGCAGAACTATGAATCCATGTATCACAGCACTCCACTTCTCCTGCAGCCTGGTGATTTCACACTCTTAAAATATATTAGACAATAAAAGGTCACTGGTTTGCTCCTTCATCATGACCACTGCCCATTCATATTTCATAGTAAAGATAAATATTTGGATGTTTCGAGTGCTTTAGAACGGAAAAAATAAATATCACCCAATACAATTTTCTAGCACAGCTAAAACCAAGGTCAGAGCAAGGAAGGCCATCTGTTCAAGGTTTAGCCATCAGTGCTGTTGTTTACTTTTGCTGTTTTGGAAAGCTTTTCCCTTTAGCTGGATTTATAGTAGCTTAGGGAAAACACAATAGTCATTTTCAACTTCACATTACTTGCCTCTTTGATATCCAGTTCTTGATATATTTATGTAAAGTGAATTTAATATAGTAAACAAGCAGACTATAATCATGCATTGTCCTAATAATGACTAAAGATGCTAGAGGTTGTTTGCAGTATTGACCTGCCATTATTAACTGAGTTTTTTATGCATCATTGTTCATCAGGGAGGAGCTGATGATTTCTTCGTCCTTCGACAGTCTGGAAGTGCTGCTCGACTCTTTTGGCCCGGTGCGCGACTGTTCAAAAGACAATGGAGGCTGCAGCCGAAATTTCCGTTGCATCTCTGATCGCAAACTGGACTCCACCGGCTGTGTGGTGAGTTGTTGTTGCCTGTCTCATTCTTAGAGCTGTAAAAAAATAAAAATAAATTAAAAATAAATTAAATTAAATTTAAATTATATTAAAATAATTACATTGTTAATAAATAAATAATTATAATAATTAAAATTAATTAATTAATCACATATATTAATATAAGTTGAGAAAAGCCCCCAAATGCAGAGAATTGATTCATTAATTCAATGGTATTAATATATATAATTGTGACAGATGAGTAAATCATTGGTAGACATTACAAACTGACTTTAGAAGTCCATATATTGTTAGTTTTATATTCATATTACAATTGCTCCAATGGTAGAAATCTCATATTATGAAATTTGCGTACAAGTTGGTACATGATTAATATTAATATTTACAGCAAATATATTAATATTTATAGCAAAACAGTAATATTGATATTGATATTAATATTAATGTTAATGTTATATATTAATATTCATCTGACAGCTCCAGTTTTTTTATTGTCTGTTTGTCACCTTTTGGAATCCATCTCTTTGCTTACCTTTTCCAGCTGTCTTGTTATCTCTCGTTTGATGCAGACTTCTCTGTTTACTTGTTTGCATTCTGTCATTGACTCAAAAAAGAGATAAAAAAGCCATTTCTTCTCGATCTAACAACCGGTATCGTCATAAACTTTACAATGTTTATGCAAATTTGAAGAAAGAACACGCTTTTGTACTCAACTTCTATAAAAAGCATTTACTTTTATAAGTTAGGCCTTCCTTGTCTGCCCGAAGGAGTTTATTTCACTTACCATGAAAAATCGTGTTTGTTTCTTCCATTTCTTTTTCTTTTACATCACACTCACTCTCTTGTCCTCACTTGTGGCTGTTAAGCAGCCATGAAATGAGCCAGGGGCTCTGATTTCACTCACCATCTGGCTGAGGTACGCTTAAAGTGTTTGATTTCTCACTCTGGCATGTGCCATGATTAGTGTGTTTGGCTGGCCCTGCTGATTGGAGGATTGTTTCAGCCAGGGTTTATGAAAAGTGCTGTGTCTCGTCCATCTTTCTGACACTCACTTCATTCATGATCTCCTGCTCATGTTTATGAACATGCGAATCAGGGTTTGTGCAGGTACGTGTCCAACACCAGCCTTATTGGATAACTGTTCCTGTTCCTGTCCATCGTGTTGTTTCATTTGAGAGATATTTGCATTGGTTGTATTTTCTGAATACTGAGTGACAATGGCTATCATGCATCTTTGTTGTTGTTTAGTTTAGTTTTGTGTAGTTTGTTTAGTTCTGTCGTGTTTTACCAACTTAACAGTTCTTTAAATTAGTGTAAGACTTGTTATTCTAGTTTTTATTTAGTGTGCACAGTTAAAATCCTGACTGAATATATGTATATATTTTTAATAAACCGATCAAAACTGGTCACCATGGTTTTTTTGTATTCAATGTGGAAAAATCATTGGAGCAAAATGAGGGTTGGCAGTTCAAAAAGGGTTACAGTGTGGTGCACTGCTGACTAGCATACTATAATAATGTCAAAGTTAATAAAGTTATCTGTTATTTTCAATCTGATGTAATATTTTATTTTGTCCTAATAAATAGATATCTTACTTATGCAAATGTATTTGTAAATATCTTATTTCTATATTGTTGTTTTTTTATGCAAGACTATAATGACCCTCGAATCATATTTGTAGATTATGTTAAACATTACACTGTAATTTAATGAGTTCCCTTTCAGTCGGTCACTCTCGACGTCACGTCGGTGACCGAAGAATCGAGATCCCAATTCGTCGGTCACCGACGTGACGTCTCCATTCCCTCCTTTAGGGAACGAGGGTTACATACGTAACCGAGACGTTTCTGTGTCTTGTTATACTCATGAGAGGCTAAAGTAAATACATTGTAAAGAGGAATTTATGCCCCCACGGTGATGTAACTGCAAAATCAAAAGAATTACATTAGCATGTTTTCTAATAGTATTTGCAAGCATGCATTAAAACCAAAACATAATTTGGGGGAGGGATTCATAGGTCAGTGCAGATTGACAAGAAAGGATGAGGGGGAGGAGTCATGAAATGACTGACAGATGAGGTCATTGCACCACTGAATTCTGCTGGGTCTTCTTTCTTACATGTATTTGCATACTGAATTGTGATTGATTAATCACTTCTGTCTTGCATCTATTTTTCATATATTCTTTTTGCAAGCAGTGATATTTCCTTCAGGTAAAGCTGGACCGACAGCACCTAACCTGCTGGTAATGAAACAGATGTTATGGCCTTCTCAGTATTTTATAGAAATCTCAACTCTAAATTCATCCTATTCTTCTTAATCATAACACACCCTTCTGTTGAGCCCGTAGCTTGATGTTTTGTAATTAACAGATGACTGAATCTATAAAAATGATGCTTCAATCTGTCCAATCATAAGAGCTCGCTACGGGCCCCCCAGAGAGCCTCATTCCCCCCCTAATCAATTAACACCTTGTCTGAGGACAGCAGTGCTACTGCTGCTTCTGTGTTTTAATATCGCAGTCTGCGTGAGCGGGCTCGTTCCGATCTGCTCTGTCTAGCTGATGTATGGCACTCCTGGGGAGAGGAACAGTGCACTAGTTTGGAAATACTCTGATAATCGCTAAATGATGATGTGATTAATTAGTTCCTTTCCCTCCAGCACACTAGGTGTTGAGTGCTTTTGTGGGACACAGAGGGGTGCCCACCGTCCGTCCTGCCGTCCACATAAAAAACAAATTGGCTCCTCTTTAGATCTAAGCGAGCCAGCCAGGCATGTTCAACAGACTTTTTGATGTTGCTGACAGATGCTGGTACAGTATGTGAATGAATTATTTGATTGTATGTGTTAGTAGTGTATAAAATCAGAATGGCAATGAATTTTAACACATATGCACTATGGCGATTTAATGCCAAACTCTTCATTAATAATAATAATAATAATAATAATAATAATAATAATAATAATAATAATAATAAAAATAATTAACTACCATTGTGATTATTTGTTTCACACCAAATATTTTGTATATGTATTTTTAATATATATTTATTAAAGGGGTCCTATTATGCTTTTTCACTTTTTCAACTTTAGTTAGTCTGTAATGTTGCTGTTTTGAGCATAAAAAAGATCTGCAAAGTTTCAAAGCTCAAAGTCCACTTCAAAAGGAGATATTTTATTTACCCAAAACAAAATCAAGACTTTGTAAAAGAGCAAAATAGGACCCCTATAAGCAACTTGGAGAATGGAGGGATGGATTATTATTATTATATTATTCTACATTATAAATCTGTGATGTTGGTGGGTTTCCTCCTATGAACTGCTTTCTTCAGGTCCTTTCACAATATTTCAATTGGATTAAGGTCTGGACTTTGACTCTGCCATTCTAAAACATTAACTTTATTGTTCTTCTTTATCCATTCTTTGGTAGAACGACTTGGGGTCGGTGTCTTGTTGCATTACCCACTTTCTCTTGAGATTCAGTTCTTGGACAGATGTCCTGACATTTTTCTTTAGAATTTGCTGGTCTAATTCAGAATTCATTGTTTCATCAGTGATGGCAATCCGTCCTGGCCCAGATGCAGCAAAACAGGCCCAAACCATGATACTACCACAACCATCTTTCACAGATGGGATGAGGTTCTTATGATGGAATGCAGTGTCTTCTTTTCTCCAAACATAACGCTTGTCATTTAAAACAAAAAGTTCTATTTTGGTCTTATTTTGCCACAAAACATTTCTCTGATAGCCCTCTGGCTTATCCACATGATCTTTAGCAAACTGCAGGTGGGCAACAATGTTCTTTTTGGAGAGCTGTGGTTTTCTCCTTGCAACACCATGGTTGTTTAGTGTTCTCCTGTAGATGGACTCATGAACATTAGCATTAGCCAGTGTGAGAAAGGCCTTTACTTGCTTAGAAGTTACCCTGGGGTCTTTTGCATCCTCGCAGACTATTACTAGTGATCTTTGTTGGTGGACCATTCTCAATTTGGTGGATTTTCATCTCATTTGTTTGATTGGGTTCTCTTTGTCAGCTTTTAGGAATTGTGTGAAAATTTGATGATCTTTTGGGTTATGTTTATGCAGAAATATAGAAAATTCTAAATGTTTCACAAACTTTCAAGCAGCACTGCATTTAAACACTGGGACTAATGAGATAAATAAAGCACAGGTGAACAGAATGACATAATTAAGACAACTAAGGAAAACTAAGTCAAAGGAAAACTAACACAGTAAACAACAGACACATTACAAACCTGACTGCTGAGAGCAAGTTTAAGTTGAGGTCATCCACTGGACGTAGAGTTCTCAGTTTTTTTACTGATGCATTCCATCTGTCTTTGACAGCCTGCTCACAATGTCCCCAAAAGCTGTTCTGTCTCCTATCATGTTCTGGCTGTAAAGCACTTCTGAGTTCCTAGTCAGTACTTGGCAAAGGTCTCCTGAGTTCAAACTCGGAAGGAGTGATCCAGATGCACAGCAGGGAGGAAACGCCACTGTTTTTTTTTTCCTCCCAGGATCAAAAGGTGGTTTTAAAGGACTGTATCCATCTCTGTGACTATCTGCTATATAGGGACAGTCTAGGCCAACAGGAATACTTGGCCATGCTAATGCAGCGAATTAGACTGTCAGACTGACCATTGGCATACTGAATAAGAAGAAAAATATTCTATTTGCAGAAAACTCATCAGGAAGAACACTAATTTGTTTAATAATTTGTTAACTTTTTAATTAATTTATTGTAGTGTTACTAGTACAGTAGTTGTTGCAGTAGTTGTGGCTCTCTGAAAACTGGTATGATTTACAATTTTTTTTATTTAATTAAAGCGTGATAAATTGTAATTACACTGATTTGCTGATTGCTGTAACAGTCAGCATGCAGTGCAAAACTGTTTAGAATAATGGAAATCTATTGTTTTATTATCAGGGTGAAAATAACACTTGAAAATAACACATTCCAACGATGGACGTTTTAAAAAGTATGTCAGTAAATCTGATCCCTTGTGGTTTTCTGCATGGGTTTATGTGGCAAGAAACAAAGCACTTGCCAGTTTTCCACATTGGCACAATTCAGCCCAGTTAATGTTGAATTATCTTCTGTGTGTGTGTGTTTGTGTGTGTGTGTGTGTGTTTGTGTGTGTGTGTGTGTGTTTGTGTGTGTGTGTGTGCACATGCTTTTCTATCCCGCTGGGGACTTAAACTAGAATACACACTGACTCATGGGGACTCATGCCACCGTGGGGACCTAAATTGAGGTCCCCATGGGGAAACAAGCTTATAAATCATACAGAATGAGTTTTTTTGTTTTTTGAGAAATGTAAAAATGCAGAAAGTTTTCTGTGTGGGATAGGTTTAGGTGTAGGGTTGGGGTAGGGCGATAGAATATATGATTTGTACAGTATAAAAACCATTACGTCTATGGAGAGCCCCCGCAAGGATAAAAACCAGATGTGTGTGTGTGTCTGTGCGTATGTGTGCGTGCGTGTGTGATCTCATGTTTCTATAGCAACTGTTCATGCCAGTTTTCAAATTTACCGATGCAGTGCAAGTCTGTCTATGTTATATCAACAATATGTCTGTGGTTTCATGTTTAGAACAATATTACAGCTGTTTTTATCTGCAACAATTACATTTTGGGGGGATTTTCCTTTTCTTACATGAAAAAAAATGTATAGACATCTGCCAATTGTTCTGTCTCCTTTGTTCCCTTTCAGTCGGTCACTCCCGACGTCACGTCGGATGACCGACGAATTGGGATCTCGCTTAGAGGGACCAATCTACTTCGAGTGTAAACTAAACGAGCCAATGCACATTGGCATGCGATTATTGCATCCAGCTGCTGCTGATCACAGCGTGAGTATAAGTAGGCAGCAGATGCAGCGCATA